TTTTAATATATTGCCCTGCTGCTGGGGAGCGAGACCGACTGTCTCCGCTTCCTGCAGGACACACTGCCGCTGGGGAGGAAGGACTGCACCTTCTGCTCCCTGGGGTACACACTGCCGCTGGGGAGGAAGGACTGCACCTTCTGCTCCCTGGGGTACACACTGCCGCTGGAGATCTGGGCCGACCGCCCAGCATCCCTGTAGGGCCGGTAGAGAGACCGCCATCCCATCTCCACCTGCCATCTGTGGGTCTTCCCAGGACCAGTCTATGAGGTCCCCTACTTCTGCCGCTGGTAGTGAAGCAGGGGGTACCTCGGCTGCGTTTTCCCAGCTGTAGGTTGGCAGGTCTGGGTCTCCCAGCCAGTTTTCCTGTTCTGTGTCTATGCCCTGTGGCTGACATGAGTTTAGTAGTTCCACATAGTCCATCTCTAGCTGTCGTTCCATGGCAGCCAAACGGTGGAGGTCTTGTCCCAGTCCCATAGATCTCGGGCCCTGTACCATCTCACCCCGGTAATAAAAAATAGCCCAGTACCGTGACTCTGCTGGACTGCCAAAGTCGACGTCTTCTGCTAAGGCCTTCCACAACAGGCCAGGGCTAGTGTAGTTCTCCCCCTCCGGCTGGATGCCCTCTGCCCTCCATGTCTCTGGCTGGACAGTGCACCACCACAGTGCCCGGTATGAGGCGTCAAGGCTCAGTTCCCTTTCCACGAGGTACTCAAGTTGTCTGACCTGCTGCCCTCCGGGTTGGTCTCCCAGAAGCGGCATCCGCCAGGCCATTTGTTCCTCCAACCGGTATGCGACACCAGGAAGGCGCTGCTGCCGTTGATACTGGACTTCCTCCAGGGCATTGTACCATAGTTCTTGCCGGGCAATATCTCTCCAGTCCAATTCACCCTCTTCCTCAGGTGTGCGAGGTGCCCAAGGATCCACAAACCCCATTTTCCCAAATCTTTATGTAGACAGGGACGCTGTATAAACCCTAGCGTCGCCTTCAATTTGTAAATCCAAACGGCTGTGTCTCTGAGCTGCTTTACCTCGCACTAGGACGCCATCCCACCGCTTGCCACCAATGTAACGGATCGCCTGGCACCCCGACTGGGTACCTCCGTTAAAGGATGCTCCTAGCGCTTCCTGAGGACTCCAAGCACTGCAGCAGACACCACAACCACCGAACCGGAGAAGCATATGAATCCTCTCAAGCATATGAATGCTGTAGACAGTTGAATAGGAACCATACGAATAGGTTTACTCTCCTAGCAGTCAAACTGGAACAGCATACAATAAATCCTTCCCCCAATAATGAGACGACACTTCACTTTGAGGGTTAAAACAGGAACTCCCTGTACTGTCACATACAGTCTCTTTTATTCCCAAATCACAAACATAGTACAGCCCACAGGGCGTTACAAAACAACCAATCACATATCAGTTACATCCCACATATTCCCTCCCTTTATCCTGAGAGGAAACTCAATTATACATACAGTTAAAACATACTTTCTACCCAACTTTCATAACTCCAAAACCATACATCACATTCACATAAAATTACATATTCACAATCAATCCATTCAGGGGAACAACATATTCAAAAATGGCACAAATCAGACAAGGGGTTCAAAAGTTAGTAAAAAGTCCTTTGTGACTAAATGAAGCATGGCTTTCTGGCCCAAACCAGTTTCAGAGTCTTCTATCCTGGAGATAAGTAATTCAATTATCTCCCAGGACAGACACAAGACTCCATTAAGCACATGGTTGCAAAAAGACACAAAACACTTTAAAATACATAAAGTCACATTTTACACATAACACACAGACATTTCACATATCCCCAGATAGCTCAGGTCTGAGCGCACATTATTAAGTGAATGGCGCTCGGACCACACAAATACAGTTTAATCGCCATGGAGCCAAAGTCTTTACAGTCAGTTTCATACGAATGGGCTCCATGGGATTCCTATCTGGGGTATAACACATTCACATAAAGTCTGGTCCATAGTCCAAAGGCAAGAGGCGGGCAAGCAGCCCCCTCCAAGGACACGTGGCGAGGCCGGTTTCGCCACAAAGAGATACTGGAGAATCATAGGCATGAACAGTCATTTCGTTATTTTAATATGTTTCCCTGCCCCTGAAATAGACCGGCCAACCCAGCTGAACTTATGGAACTATTCTGGGCAGTAGCCTCGTGGGCAGTAGCTAACTTTTGAACCCCTGTGTCACGATTCGGGGAACCCAACACGCTGGCACACACACACACACACACACACACACAAAAGGTGCCGTACCGGACCTTAGAGTGGCCGGGCTAAGCACACACAGAATAGTCAGGAAACAAGCCGAGTAAGGGGAACCAGAAGACAGAATAACGTGAAACGAGCCGAGGTCAAAGGGTAGGAGAAAGTCACAGAGTCAGATAAACAAGCCAGAGAGTACGTAACCAGAAGTACAAGGTAAGTAGCAATACTAGAAAGCAAAGACCACAATAGGGCAGGGAGGAACAGGAAAGGTAAGTATTTAAACCATAAGGTTAATTCTGATTGGATAATTTCCAATTAGAATTAACAATCACACGTGGGAGATATCTAGACCTCCCACTGTGATTGAGGCACTGTGCCTTTAACGCCGGGTCAGGTGACTGACCCCGGCGTGTACAAACTTGGGCGGTCTCCCAGCGTGCAGCGTCATGTATGCTGCTGCTGGGGGACGTGGAGGAAACGGCAGGCGGCATCCGAGGCTGGAAGGATGCCACTCGCCGGACCCAGGAGGAGGAGGGGACCGCGGACGGCTGGAGGGTGAGTACCGCGAGCGGAGTGCAGCCTCCCCTCGCAGCCGCCCGCGGGATCCCGACACCCTGAACCGATCTGGGTGATTTTTGAGTATGTTGTTCCCCCAGATTGGGGCTTTTAGAAAATGTATATTTTGTGGGCGTTTCTTATGTTTTTGGGTTATTTCTAAAAATGTTCAAAAAGTTGTATTTTTTCGTTTGGAGATAATTAAAGGACCACTAGTTTTAGTTTTCCTGGCACTATAGTGCCCTGAGGGTGCCCCCACCCTCAGGGTCCCACTCCCGCCGGTCTGGATGGAGAGGAAGGGGTTAAACTTACCTCTTTCCCCAGCGCCGGGTGGGGAGCTCCCCTCCTCCTCTCTGGCTGAATGTGCATGCGCGGCAAGAGCCGCGCACGCATTAAGCCAGTCCATAGGAAAGCATTCACAATGTTTTCCTATGGATGCAAGCGTCTTCTCACTGTGAAAATCACAGTGAGAAGCGCGGAAGCCCTCTAGCGGCTGTCAATGAGACAACCACTAGAGGCTGGATTAACCCATAGGTAAACATAGCAGTTTCTCTGAAACTGCTATGTTTACAGAAAAAAGGGTTAATCCTATCTGGACCTAGCACCCAGACCACTTCATTAAGCTGAAGTGGTCTGGGTGCCTATAGTGGTCCTTTAAGTTGATACAGTAATTAACGCAATTATCTCCTAAGCAGAGGAGAGGGATTGTGTACACTGTATGGGAGTGACTGAATGTAAAATACTGTTTTGATTGGCTTGTTGTTCCTGTGTCCCTGTGCCCCACCAGGTCCACCTGGGTGGTAACTTTGTGGGGAAAACTGTATAAAAGGCAGTGTGCCACAATAAACCTTCAGTTCCTGATTTACTTTCAACACAGAGCTTTGGCACGTGCTTGTAGGGAAAAGCTATACCTGCTGCAATCCCTGCCTTGGGATTGCTCTATAATCACTAGCTCTTCTAATAGCTGTCCCTGCTCTGCTCTACAGCCTCCTTCTCCCATCAGGAGAGAAAGGACATCTCCTGGTGGCGAAAACCCCTCACTCTACCGGGGTGCCGCTACAATGCCATTGCCTCATTTTCATTTTTCCCCCCTCTTTATTGCCCTTTTTAATTTCCCACTTTCTTCATTTCAGTTTCACCATATTTGTTGTTACACCATTACTTAAAGGACCACTATAGTGCCAGGAAAACAAACTCGTTTTCCTGGTACTATAGTGCCCTGAGGGTGTCCCCACCCTCAGGGTCTCACTCTCGTGGCGCTGAAGTGGGAGGAAGGGGATAATCCCTTACCTCATTTCCAGCGCCGGGCTCCCTCGGCGCTGGGACTCTCCTCCCTCTTCTTCCGTCATCAGCAGAATGCGCATGCGCGGCAAAAGCCATGCGCGCATTCAGCCAGTCTCATAGGAAAGCATTCTCAATGCTTTCCTATGGACGCTGGCGACTTCTCACTGTGAAAATCACAGTGAGAAGCGCGGAAGCGCCTCTAGCGGCTGTCAATGAGACAGCCACTAGAGGCTGGATTAACCTATAGGTAAACATAGCAGTTTCTGTGAAACTGCTATGTTTACAGCAGAAAGGGTTAACCCTAGATGGACCAGGCACCCAGACCACTCCATTAAGCTGAAGTGGTCTGGGTGTCTATAGTGGTCCTTTAATCTCCCCAGAAATATCTTCTTTCTTCAGGGTAATCTTTTGCACTCTACCTTCTGAAACGGTGGGAGTAGGTCTTGTCGTCCAATGCTTCTTCCAGGCTGGTGTCATTCCATCTGCCTAATCATACTTCCGAGATGGCATTGGCATCTTACATGTTCTCCTCCTTTGTGGCATGTATTTCCCCCTCACTGATAACAGGTCCACACACTCTGACTTTATATTCCCCAAAAACAGAGCCAAACACTTCTGTACTGGTAGAGCAAAGAACCTCAAAATGCTTTAATGGAAACAAGAACCAGCTTTTCAGAAGCCTTTGTGCAAATCATGGTATCACATTCACAATAATATATGAAGCATACTCGTTAATGGGAAACAGATACACAACAATACTTGCATGAAACGTACATTTTGAGTCCGGATAATATAACAAAATTATTGGGAAAGCAGGTGAATACAGACACTAGCATCCAAAAACATCCTGTTTGCGTTGGTCTTGATAGGCAAATATACAAATTCTTTAGTTTAAACATTCTGGCTTACAACATTGTCAGAAATATGCATGTATGTACGTAGCGGGGAATGTGGTGCGACTAAAGGTAAAGAGACTACCCCACTTGTCCCCTTAATAACGACAGACAACGAATATTGGATGAGACAGGCCACAGCATTTATTAAAACTTACAACTGTAGGACACATCCGAACTTTATTCTTTTCTTTTAATTCAAATATAAATAAACACATAAATATATATGCATAACATAATTAACATATAAATTAACACTTATTGCCCTACAGCCTCCAACTTAAATAACCGTCCTTGCCAACGAACATAACCAGGTGCCTATGCACCAAAACTTTACCCACTGGTGTCTCTCCTCCCCCCTCGTCCAAACCAAAATTCCCATCATCTTAAATGCTCTACCACCAGCCAGCTCTTTGCTCGGTGGGCACGTCCTATTCGGTAACTTGATGGTTTACCTTACAGAGCAGGGGAGGTTGAGACCCACCTTGACCATCTCTTGACATTCCATCTGCTCTCCAACCCTGTTGGCAAGGACACGCTCACCGCCAGCTGTGACAGAACAAACATAAAATTAGGGTGGGTGGGAGGGAAGTTGTTTGCTGGCCAGAATCCCAAAAGGCACTGAGGTAAGATGATCCCTGCCCCACTACAAACCCATAACCACTCCCCTAAACACATATAGCCAATCACTAGCACCATCCCCACACTCATACATGTGCCCTTGTCCGTTTAGCTATGCTGACTCCCCAGGGCCTTGTATGTACGTAGCGGGGAATGTGGTGCGACTAAGAGTAAGGAGACTACCCCAATTCTCCCCCCAATAATGACAAACAACGAATATTGGATGAAACAGGCCACAGCATTTATTAAACTTACAACTGTAGGACTCATCCAAACTTTATTCTTTTTCTTTAATTCAAATATAAATAAACAGATAAATATATATAGCATACCATAATTAACATATAAATTAACATATAAATTACACTTATTGCCCTACAGCCTCCAACTTAAATAACCGTCCTTGCCAACGAACTTAACCAGGTGCCTATGCACCAAAACTTTACCCACTGGTGTCTCGCCTCCCCCCTCGTCCAAACCAAAAATTCCCATCATCTTAAATGCTCTACCACCAGCCGGCTTTTTGCTTGGTGGGCACGTCCTATTCGGTAACTTAAAAGTTTACCTTTCTGCATGGCAATACTAAAAAAGGTCTAGCCGGACCTTCATCACCCAGAAACACAGTAGTTGCCACATGCGCGACAACACCCTGTGGCAAACCAAAATCCCCTTACCTTCAAACACCTCGAAAGGCCCTCCAATTTTGCTTCACACGGCAGCGTACCATGCACTGGTTATGGGCCCGCCGCCAAAAGATATGGGAAATGACCTCCGACCAATCGGGGTTATTTATTGATTCATTTTTTTATTTTTTTTTTATTTAAAATCGTTTTATTTGTATTTATTTTTTTTAGAACTGCTTTGTTATAACATACGACAAGTCCTGTATAACACATCCAGAACTTATTATAATAATAATCTCTATAATCATAATCTCTCTTCTTTTCTGAAACCAAAACGTTAAACATAAATAACCATAACTTAACATATATAACTTAACACACAGGGTCATACAGTGAACCCAACACCACGCATCACGAAAGAACTAAAACACGCACCAATATCCTCTTAGGGGCAGACGCCAAAAAAACACCTTGGTATCGTCCCAAGCTCAATGCCCGCCAGGTGGATAACCCGAACATTAGGGACAGGTGGGACAGCTGAACCTGCTCCGGGAGGAGCTGAACACATTTCATACCTCCGACACCAAACCAACAAACCTCCGCTTCAGAAGGCACACAACCCAAAAGCTCACCTCCCAGACGGACACCCGCATCTCACCTGGGAGTATAACCAGGAAAAGGACATCCATATATTATCTGTTTTCCAAGTGCACCCTGGGAATTGTTACTTGTACCCAAGGAACTGGTACTCATTTATCTACCTCAAAGGAATGAATAGATGAGCCACCGCCGCTGAGAATTGAACCCGAACCCCCCCAAGTATTGAACAAATTCCACGAAACCAGCATTACTTCACCGAGACATCTCACCATACCCCCTCCTGGTTCTTTGCACCACGTGCGCTGACATACCCATTCTAAAAGCCTCCAAGGCAGCGCTAAACCGAAAGGAATGACACAAGATTCTTTGCTGACTGTCTCCAGAACCATCAGACTTGAGCGAAAGACCCCAAAATTGGGAATGGGTAAGAAAAATAAAAATAAATCACATCCGCATAACTCAAAAGAGGGCCCGTGCATACTGGGCGCAGCTCACAGTTCTCTACAAAGGAAAAGTGCAACAGCCGAACCGCCATACCCTTCCCGAAACAACATTCGACCTGGATTGTCAAACACTTATAGTGATATGATCTGCAGGGCGCCGACTGGCGGCAAACAATACCCCACCACCGCATGGCCTACTAGGAATCACCAAAACCCCAACATGCACGGCCCCCAGGAGCATAGCGTCCAGGTGGCCGTGGAAACCGATCCACGGACCCATTCCGTCACTCTGCCAGACTGTCCGCCGGGCAAGGCGTCCCCTCCAGATCCGCCTGCGAGGCGATTGCCCCTTAAGCAAGCGAGGGAAGGAGGCTGTCAGCCGAGTAATGGCATGAACAACCCTCAAATTGTCGCAGTGAAACACTACCCTTAGATCCTGAAACGTGACTGCCAGACCTCCCCCACCACCAAAATGGGGAAACACTCCAAAAAGCCCAGATTCTTTGTGAGCCCAGAGACATGCCAACTGTCCGGCCACACGGGAGCACACCAATTAGAGCCCAGAATGGCCCCAAACCCCACCGCGCCAGCTGCGTCCGTAAATAGGTGGAGGTCGGCGTTAGAAACCTCCGGCCTTTGCCAGCAGGACCGGCCATGATATGCAGCTAAGAAGGACTCCCAAAATCTCCCGCAGCAGCCGAGTGAGCCGAATGAAATGGCGAGGCCCGGAGACCGCGGCTGTCGCCGTAGCCAGACGCCGGTTAAAGACCCGCCCCACGGGCATGATCCGACAGGCCAAATTCAGCTCTCCCAGGAGCGACTGCAGGCAGCGCAGCTGAATATCGCGCCGCCCCATGGCCAAGGCCCCTTCGTGCCGCCAGCCTTGAATCTTATTCAAAGGCCAGCGGCAGTCCCACGCCAAAGAGTCAATCTCAATGCCCAGAAAGCTGAGAAAGTGAACGGGCCCACCGTCTTGCCGTGTACCAATGGGATCCCAAACTAATGGAACACCTCACCCAGAACCCGTCGCAGCAGCGAACAGGCTGTCGAATTGGCAGGACCCACACAAATGAAATGATCGAGGTAGTGTAGCAAGGAGACTATACCAGCCTCCTCCCTCACCACCCAGACCAAGAACGTGCTGAAGCATGCAAAGTAACAACAGGATATGGAACTACCCATAGGGAGGCACATATCTACGTAATACATGCCTACAAAAAAAACACAGCCCAGAAGATGGTGACATCCCGGGTGCACTGGCAGTAGACGGAAGGCCAAATCCACATCAGCCCTGGCCCAACAAGGCCCCAGGGCCCATGGCCCTGACCATATCAACCGCCACGTCAAAGGATGCATAAGATACCCATCAGAGTTCCCAAGAGATGTCGTCATACACCAAACCCCCTCCCCCGGGGGTAGATAAATGGTGAATCAGACGGTATTTGTCCAAACCCATGCTCAACCCATCCAGTAGGATGCCAGCCACCCGACGATTTCTATAAACTGGAGAGCCAAGGGCGCATCGCGCTCATGACCACTGGCATCATCGGCCTCTGACCCCAAATCCCCAAGTAGAACATTTGTGCTGGAAAGAGCAAGATGCCCCCCATTTGCAGTGACTGTCGTTGAATTTCAACAACAGCCCGGCCTCCGATGCGCGACCGGTGAGGAGGAGGACCCCCCCGCCAACTGTTGACAGAACTGCTCGTCATATTTCCACCATCCCAGACTGCCATAGGTACGACAAGCATTCCAAATGGTATCCTGGTAGCAGAACAATGCGGAGCACTTCTGCGGAGCCCTTTCCCCAGTTACACTGGCCAGGATTGCAAACGTACCAATCCAATTTGCGCAAGTCATAGGGATCTTCCGGTACTGGTATTTCTCCTTGTCTTTTTTTTTTTTTTTTTTGATTCCTACCCGTCCTTTTCCATTAAAGGAGGAGCCTCCTCCATGGGAAGGAGGGAAAAATCTCAACAAAGTCTCCCCTCCAAATTTTTTACGAACCTCCTGATGAAGGTGCAAGCCCAAGGGCCCTGACCAACACATAGGCGGACCCATGCGAAACGGCAAACCTGGGGGGGTCACCTAATGCTAGGGACCCCCTAGCAGCAGCAGGTGCTGCGGCACCCGACGCCGTAGCAGGGGTGCCAGCATGCACACCCACTCCAGGAGAGGGTAACAGCGTGACCCCAAAAAAAACCTGTGACTGCAGCGCCGGGGACCACACTAACTGGAGCAGACCATCTAATGGGGGGACCCTATCTGCTTGCGCACCCTGTTCCCTTTATTTTATTTTATTTTTTTATTTATTATTTATTTATTTATTTTTAATTTATTTATTTATTTTTTTTACTGATCAAGAAAAAAACCCCAGCGAGGAACCCCTGAACTGAAAAGAAGAAACATTAGTGAACTCACCAGCCGATGCCCGAGGAACCTCCCGCGGCAAAGGAAATGAAGATGATCCAGGCAGGACAGAGTTAACTTCATTTTCAGCACTGCTCAGCCCAGCAGCAGCACCAGGCGCCATCTGGTGGGTCCCAGGAACTGCAGCCAGATCCTGTGTGAAGAGCCGTGGAGAGGAGCTCACACCCCGCAGAGGAGGGCAGCCGAGGTAAGTAACCAGGGGGAGGGCAGGGGGGACATAGGGACCAGGAATAGGGACAGGAGAGGGGGGGGGAGGAGGGAGGGAGACAGAGAGAGCCAGGAGGGGGAGCAGAGAGAGGAAGGACACCCAGCACAGCAGGAACAGGGGAGGGGGAAGGAGGGAGATAGAGAGAGAGCCAGGAGGGGGAGCAGAGAGAGCCAGGACAGCAGCAACAGGGGAGGAGGCGGTAAACCAAGGGAGAGGGGACTCCAGAGGAAGAGGGGTCTAGGGATGGCACCCGGGGGGGAGGGAGGAATTGGGACAGAACCCGGGGGGAGAGGGGGACCCCCCCTGGCCGACCCTCATCCCCAGAGGAGCCATCAGAGCCCGGGGAGGAC